TGTTGGCCTGAGTATTGGCTTGTGACTCATTGTGAGGGTTACAAAGTGTGTCTGAATGGGACCGTACCAAGAGCTATGAACTCAGACAGGCAATGACTCTAATCATTGCTTAATGACAGGATTAATCATGATATCTTGAAAAATGTGGTTACTGTTGCCCGTCTGATTACCTCTGTTACGAATCTGTGGAGGGGGTGTAGGATCCATAATCCCCCTGGGTGTGTCAGTATAGGGCTTCTAGGGGAGTTGGACACTCTCCAGCTCCACCTTAATTCAAACTCTGTATATAGTGGTTCCTTACTTAAAGGTATAGCGAAGGATCATTTTTTTCTGGGTGGATCATCTGAACCATTGGCCAGCATAACTGTCAATAGGGATGTGAATTGGTGAAATAATAGCAATATGATACATATCACGATACAGGGGGACATTCAGTCAGATGATATTAGAATTATTTTAGACTGAATTTATTGTAGGAAAATTCAATTAACAGTCCAAACTGATATGTAACATGTTTAACATGAGGCATCTGAGCCATGATAGAGGGATACACATTTCAATAGTGGAAAAAAACCCATTGCACACTGCTGCCTACTAGCGGTCAACGTTAGAATTGCACCAAGAAAAGAAATTACACAAATATTTGCATGTGAATTGTTCCAAAAAATAGATACACAGCTTTTGCATATTGATATAATATTGCTGGAAGTAGTATCACGATATATTGCCCTATCGATGTTTTCGATGCACAGCTTTTGAATATTGATATAATATCGCTGGGAAAAAATCACGATATATTGCCATATTGATATTTTCTTATATCCGTATCATGGATTAAGACTCCAAATCCTGCCATCTGAAGCTAGTTTCATCTCTGGTGGAATTCTCCGTTCTGAGCAAGCACATGAGAGCTTTTCCCTCCAGAATGCGACTTACAAGGCATTCATTCCTACTAGAGACTACTGAAAATGTATAAAAAACACGAATGAAGCGCCTAATGACGTTGCTTTCTGGGGTCGTATGTTGATATTTTTATTGTAAGATTACTAAACTAAACTGGAATTTCTTTAAAGTATCAGCATGACTATAATTACATCTCTGCATCACATTCACACTTTTTTGTGTCTTTTGTCATCATTTTCAATTGAAATCTTGAGTCACATTAAAACAAAGAGCTCTCATATCGTATCATATCTGTAGGAGTTGCCCATTGGACTTCAACTGTATTTTTATTACACAAACCTACAATCACTCTGCCAACCAGTGCAGAATGCTCTTCTGTACCGTGCTAACAATCTCAATCATCTTATTATACACACACAGGCACACGTACACACATACATGCATACAGTTTCCATGGAAACAGGATCCAGGGCCTTTTTATGACTGCTTGTTTGCCCTAGACAACCAAAATTGCTCTCAGCAACCATGCAAAGATGAAGAAGATAAATTATTTGTGTACTAAATGATTGGACACACACAGTAATGATATACAGTAGGAAGTGGTAAGTTGCTCTTCACAGCCAAAAATACTATTGTGAATTTTGATTAAGCAGTTGCTGATTTTATTAGGTGAATAATATCATTTTCCTCAGTGACTGCATCCATCCTTGCTCTTTTTGTCCGTTATGTTATCACGCTGATTGTGTTGTGTTTGCACATGCTTGGCGCTGCCAACGATGTGGCCACTCATCGTAATAACCACACTTTTGGAGAAAAATAAGCACACACACATGGAGGCTCTCCAGCCATGCTGCCCTTCGGTAGCCTAATGTGTGTCTGAAGTCCAGATGGTGTAGCTGTGGGAGAGGGCTCGGTTTTGTTAGCAATAATGCTAACAACCTTCCATTTGGCTACTTTAAGCTGATAGAGGAAATATTCTGTTAGTCCTTTTAGGGACAGTGTCAAGTTTACAGTTCACTCAACACGATGTGAGAAAGTGAACCTACTTTTGAAGTTTTTGTTGCTTTCCAAGAGAGCTGATGGAAGCATAAGCATGGATCAGCCATCTCATTTTAGGTATTTTACACCAAATGTTTTCCTAAACTAACATCTTGTTTCCTATGTTCAAAATGACAGGAACTAAGCTAAATAAGGACCTGAAGCATTATCTAACTCAGCGCTTCCAGAAGTCATCCCCAGACCACGAACTGCAGCAGATCATCCGAGAAAACCTGTACCGTCACGCAGTGCCTTGTAAGTCTAATTTCCTCACATCACTACCTTTTCTACTTAATGACATGCCAATTTCATGTGCATGGAGGTCAAACCTCATTAAACGCTGTTTTGTTATCCTGTCTAAATGATGTTTCAGCTCGAGGTATGGTGGGCATTAGATCCGTGTATTGTGTAGTTCCCACACAGACACTTGGCATCTTTATCTAATTAGGGCTGATTGTTTCAGTCTGAGCTACATTTGCCTTTAGTCCAATATTGACCGTGCAGTTAGCCAAGCTGATTAAGTCTGAGACGAGCTTCATCTTATAGCTTTTATCTGTTTAGTGCAGCCCCTTCCTTCCAAAGGGTGCAGTACCATCCAACTTCCAGTGAGTGTATTTAAAGCCCACCATGCTGCACCCCCCCACCCATTGTGTCAGCACCATGTTTGTTAATAATGTCTGATCAGCTGTATGAATGTCTTGTGGCTTCCCACTGAAGCTGTTAACATACTCCACATCTTCTGGACCAGGAATTTCTCTTCTATGATATTCAAAACCAACTGGATGCTTACAACCCAATAAATAATAACTGCCTAGAAAATAATAGTGCTGCAACAAAAAGAAAAAACACAACAACAACAGGAGTAAGATGGATTGATGAAGAGTGGTGTGCGACGAAAATCTGTTACTTGGACCAGTGAAGCGTCCGTTTTGTCTTCATTATGGTGCTGGAGTTGAAAATCCCAGTTGGCTCGACTGAAGAGATGCAGGAAAAACGGACTAGAATCCAGGAAATGAATGAGGTTTATTTGAGTGTTTTATGATCTTTATTGTTTTCTATTTGTCACATGGTGGGAGTTGCTGCTGCATTTTTGAAACACTAATGACTATGTCCCACAACTGGTCTGATTTACAGCAGACATTTGACCTAAAAGACTAAAACAAGTGCGGGTGTGTAAACTTAACACACTTTTCACTTCTACAGTTTGGTTCCTCTTGTCCCAATCAGTTGTTGAGTTTGTTAACTAGTAGTTTTCCCCCCACTCTAGTTCAGCTTCTTTTCACACAAGGAGAACTGCAAGCAAACCAAAATGCGTCAGTAAAAACCATATGAGATTGGTCAGTTATGCCTGGGGTGGGACAGTCCCAATTATGTAAAGTGAAATGTGCAGGGTTAGCCTGAGCAAGTCCACAACATGATCTAAGCTCCCCACCCCATGTCAATAAACACTCAGCCCTTTGTTAGTCCAGATTTTTCTTGGTTTGTAGTTTTTATGCATTGTGTTGTGTTTTTGTGTCACATAAAAATCAACTTGCGTTACTTTAGTTTCTGGTGTAGACTAGGACTGGACATCAATTCAATAATGATATTTTACACTGAACAAAAATATAAATGCATCACTTTTGTTTTTGCTCCCATTTTTCATGAGCTGACCTCAAACATCTGAAACTTTTTCTACATGCACAAAACACCCATTACTCTCAAATATTGTTCTAAAATCTGTCTACATGTGTTCGTGAGCACTTTTCCTTTACCTAGGTAATCCATCCCACCCCACAGGTGTGGCATATCAAGGGGCTGATTAGACAGCATAAATAATGTACAGGTGTGCCTTAGACTGCCCACAATAAAAGGCCATGAAAGGGAGTGAAGCAAATGGAGTTAAAACAGATATGCCCAATGGCTGAAAGGGTGGAAAGCAACAATGCAGCAGCACAGCTTTTTTGGTATGAGCTGTACTGTTTTATGGCATTACACATTGTGGCTATTGTATTATCAGAAGACCGCTTTCGCGGTCCTGTCACTTCCAGAAGTAACCAATCCCAGCTCGACTGAGGCATTTACATGCAGATGAAGTTGGGATAAAAACACAACGTAAATCTATTTGGGGCAATAGTTCAGTTTTCTGATGCGCATGTTAACGCAATGAGTGATTGTTGAAGTGGATTTTGAAAAGTTGCAGAAAGGGTCAAAAAGGTATTCAAGTGTTTTCGGCACCATTCGAACACCATTTTCTAACCCCATTTAGCCCTGACTAAAGTTACTCTTCAGATCTAGAAACTCATTTAACTGATGATAAAGTCAAAACGTTTGTGTGCTCACTTGACCTGTCCACCTTCAGCGAGTTCTCTCATGGTGGGGAAGTTTGATGAAGTTGGTTTGAAATCTAATCTTGAGCTTTCCTCTCACATCCCCCCAGCTTTCCCTACAAAGCGCTGATCAAATTTGAAACCCACCCTCCCTCACTGTGGTCACCCCATCTGCATGTTCAGCACTCCCTCGCTCCCATCGTCCCCACCAGCCCTGCTCTTTTCCTGACCCCCCCCCCCCCCCCCAACTTATGGGAGCAGTGGCTCTCTTCCTCCAGCTGCCTGTGCAGCTCCCTGTTTCCCTCCGTATCAGTCTTTGTTTTCCTCTCTTGCTTTCCTGCTAGTTTAGAAGCGCTTGGATCAGTAGCAGGGGGAAGTGGAAGGGATCCCTCGTAGGTTTGAATCCTGTTTTCACAGCTCACCATTCAGTGTCGGCACACCTTGATAAAAGTGGGGGCAGTGGTCTCTCCTGGATCTAGGCAAGTAGCGGTGTTGTTTACAGTCAGCTTGGCGATCGTACCCTTACCTCTCCAGGTTTGCAGATCACGCCCGCGTTACAAATCGCAGCACTTGTGCTACAGACGGCTGGGCTGCCTGTATGTAGGCTAAGAGGACGGCTCGGATGGTGGTGGGGCTGCCTGACGCCACAGGAATCGTGATGGGGGTGGGGTGGAGTCTGGGTGTGGGAGGGGGACAAGAGGGGGGGATGGGCTGAGGGGAGGAAATGGTGTGAAAAAGGAGATTACTCACTACTAATAAATGCTGACTCTAGCTAGCCAGTCAAGCTAACCTAGAAGGTGTGCTTCTGTTGCTTTGCTGTGTGACGAGGATGCTTCTGTCTGTCTACACTGTAAATAAAAGCTGGTTCAGTGAGGTTAAAGATTGCATCCACAGATACAATCACGCTGGAATACCTGAACAAAACAAGTGCTCTGGGTTTCAGAGCCACTCCTAAACATCAGAACAGTGGTCAGTATAGCATATAGTCATCTTCAGAGATGATGGACCGTTTAGACTTGGGAGTAAAATCTTAAGCATTTCTTTTATTTGTCTCGTTTTGCATGAGGGACATTGTTTTTTTCAAGTGCATGAGGAAATGTTTTTAAGTTGACTGATCCTCCCTGTTGGATCAGTTCTGAGTTGACTTGTGTCATCACTGATGTCAGTCTCTGCTGTTGGTTTATGCTGCGCCCATTCTTTGTAGCAACTTTATTCCTCTTTTTAAAACAGCACCCAACAACTTTTATTGCATTTTTGACGAAAACGAACATTATGTTATGTTGCGGAGTACAAAGGTTTCCCTAATAAGTTTTATGAAGCCTTCGTGCAGTCTTATCAAAACAGCTCCTCAAATGTGTACTCTTACAACGGCGTGTCTGTTGTGGACCAGGTGCCGTTTTGGCTGCTTGTGTACCTTCAGATGTTTGTAACCTGCTGCACGCTGGTAAAACAGGAACAACAGCATCGATGAGTCAGCAAAAAAGGTTGGTTCCTTTCAGTTAGATAAGATGATACGTTAGTAGCTTGTTTTCTCACCTCAAAATGTTTTATTCAGTTTAGAGTTCTAAGTTGTGGTCTAAAACGATCTATTCTAAAAGTAAGTGTTCCCTCCACAAAGAAGAAATATGAGACAAAAAAATAAGGATTTGTTAAGATACCATTTAAGTTGTTTGGGTCTCAGGCCACTGTTTGTTTCTTTTTCTGCTTTTGATCCCATCTGATCCTTCCGACGTTTTCTCCTTCTTCAGACTTTTTCCCTTTGCACTCAGTGTTTGTTTTGGATAATGGCGCCACACACGAGCAGCTGCACAACATTGCCCAGGAGGTTTGGTCCACTTTTGACAGCGAATGACGGTCAAACAAATCAAATGAAGGTTTCATGTTTTTCAGCTTCCTTCTCCCAATCAAAAAAAGCCCCCTAGACCATCCTGGTGTGAGAATCCTCTCCCAAGCTGCAACAACTGGGTTAACAAATGAAATATAAGAAAAGCATCTTTATTGAATATCTCACTACATTATCCATGTGTTTTTATTATTCTGTCTTTACCTTTTTATAGCTCTAAGTTTATCCTTTACTGTGCAAAACCATGCAGAAAGGTCAGCCGCATGCCCAAACATTAGACTAATGTGGGGTATACTAAGGTCTCACTTGATCTTTGACCCCTTTTATATATTCCTGCTGCTTTTCCAAACCCCCCTTCCCCCTCTGACCACAAAGACACAGTCCTACACAAAGCTACGTGTCTTTGTCTACACTTTTAACCAGAATCTATGGCATGAAACGTTCTAGTACTGACCTTTGTATTTATGTATCTGCTGTAGTGCTGACACTTGTGGATATTTGCTCTCTTCCTGCTGCGTTTTACATGTAAATGTCTGCAGTTCCTGCTCAGCGCGGCTCTTGTCCCAACTTTTCTCCCACTGAGGCAGCATGCTCTTATCCCCTCCACATGCTGGTCAGGGATGACTTGTCATGAACCTGCCAGGCAGACGGCGCGTGCACGGGTCTGTGTGTGCTCGAGCGTCTGTGGTTTTGAGGAAAAACGAAGAGTAACGGAGGGCGCTGCTCGAAAGAGGTGTGTGTGAACAAGAAAGGAAAAAAGGGGTGAACATCCAGGAGAAGGGAGGGAATGGGAGAGAAGGGGGGCAGGTGGGCGGGTGCATGTGAGACGGGAAACAGCGGGGCTCAGTCAGTGAGGGAGAGACTGAAGCCTAGCATTGGTGTGTGTGTGTGTGAGTGTGTGTGAGTGTGTGGGTATGAGACAGAGTGCATATTAAGCCAACGTGTGGATGCTGCTTAGCAAAGCTCCGGCTAGCTTAGCATCACCAAGCCAAAGCTGGACGGAGGACAGACACACAGGAGGAAGAAGGATCTGTTCATCTTTTTCTTCCCCTCATCTCCACCTGACTGGATTTGAATGTTTTTCTTTTCTCCCCCGTGTCTCCTGTCGACGTGTTGTTGTTCTGTGGACCGGAGAGGGGAGGGAGCAGGAGCCAATCACAAGCTATCTGATTGAGGTATTTTGTTTAGTGTTTGATTTGCAGGGGAGATGCTGTAATTTAATGGCCGGGGGGGTCAGGATGGAGGGAGAGGCAGGCGGTGAGGATGGTTGTGCATCAGGCGGAAGGTATCATAGGGAGACGGAGGCACAGCGCTGGCAGTAATGGAGGCTGATGTGGTCAAACGGAAGCTGCCTGGCTGTCTGTCTGTCTCGGGTTCGATTGGGGTGTTTGTCTGTGGCCTTGGCTCGACGTCTGTACGAATCTCTCACTGGGTTAGGCATGTTTCTAGTGGAAGCTCTTCATTTGTGTGTCTGTATGCATGTGTGCCTGTGTGTGTGTGTGTGTGATCTGTTGACATGTTTGATCATGCTGGAGGCCATTACCTTCAGCAGCAAACTGCCGCCTGCTGTCTGTCTGTCTGGAGCATCTCAGAAGGTTAGCCCTCCTCCATCCTCTCATTATTTTCATTTTTCTTTTTCTGGTAGTCCTTTTTCAGTGTTCAGTCTAATGTCTAAATTATCCCCCCCCCCCCCCCCCCCCCCTACCCATCTCCTTTGTAAATGGTTCGTTTTAGGGCTTTTCTTTTCCATTCCCATGTAGCTCTAGGCAGCAGTTAGCTCATGGTGCTTGTTTTCAGTTTGGAATTAAAGACAAAGGCCGGCTAAGAGTGCATGCAGGGGGTCAATTTCAGGCTGGTTTCTGGCTGATTTAGCTTTATGCTACACTCTTGGCCCTTCTTGAGTTTTTATTATTTATATTTTTTTCATTTTTATTCTTCTCAGGGCTTCCATGTCGGCCACATCTTTCTTCTGGAGAATCATCCTTTCTTTGTGCGTTTGTCATTTCTCCTTTGCTATCTGGCATCAGTCATGCAAAGCAAAAAAAAAAAGAAAGAAAGAAAGAAAAAAGGCGTCCCGCCGCACACAAATGGCTCAAATAAAAGGCAAATCACGTACAAAAGCTTCCATCCATAGCATTTAAGTCCCAGACAGCACCATTTGGGGAGATTTTTTAGGGGTAGGAGGAAATGGGGTGGGCTGGTGAGGATGTTTGTAAGGCTAGATGGAGGACTATAACCTCTTTCTGCTCAAAACCAACAAGCAAAACAAACATTTAGCCAGAAATGTGAGGACTGGAAAATGCTGGAATCTGTGGCCTGTGCTTTTGGTTGGATTAACCCCTTACTGGGACAGATGGCTGCATCCCCCTGCCGAGCTAACAAACCCCAGATTGTCACCCCTCGTGTGTGTGTGTGTGTGTGTGTGTGTGTGTGTGTGTGTGTGTGTGTGTGTGTGTGTCACCAGAAGAAAAAAAAATGTTTGCCTGGCTAGTTGTGGCCAAGATGGTGGATGGATCTGTTTTGGTTTAGAAGCATGACTGCAGTCTGCTGTCCTTCGTCTCATGTTTGTGGATGAGCATGCAGTTTTTGTGCATCTTGAACGCTCTCCATTGAGACATGGCTGAGGATCTTCTTGGAAACTGTCGACTACTCGGCTAATTTGTACTGAGTGTAAAAATATAACGACACAGTCTTCTGACAGCTCCTGTACAGCATTCTGGATGCACATTTTCAAGGGAAACACATAATCCATCATTATCCTCTGGATATATTCAGTATTCTTTAAGTGGTTACTCTATCTAGCCAACCAGATGCTGCAATAAACCCACCATTATTAATAAATTGTGTTGAGTTTGAGGAAAGATGATGCATTTTACACCAGATGGTTGGTGATTTCTTTTCTTTATTTCAAATTGTAGCTGCTTTTCTCTCCCTCTTTCACAAAAAATGAACTTTGTGTGCATTTTCTTCAGAAAAAAGGATACTAGATGTAGTGCATTTGCTCTGAGAAGAGAGCTGCTAGAGCTTTTGGAATCAGAGTTCTGTTTTTAACCGTAATCCCAAATTTAACACAGACCAAAATAAAATAAAAATAATTATAATAATATTAATAATAGTTATTGTTACAATAATGGTTAGATTTATTGAAAGCATCATCGGGTTAGTTAGTTAATTTATCTTTGGAGTGAAGAGCTAACACCCATGGCCTCAAAGGTTTATATCATGTGTTCCCTCATCCTCATGTGTAAGAGAAGATCGACACACTTATATAGCACAATATTACATTATGATACTTGATCCCCTGTATTGTAGGGCTGGTCGATATGGCCTAATATCAATATCACAATATACTGAGGATTTCACCTCGATAACGATGAATAGACGATAAATACAGGTATACGCAGAAACTAAAGTTGTCCACTAGATGGGGCTGTCACATGTATTACGTTGAGTCACATTTTTACGTGACTCAGGCCCTGTCCACACGTAGCCGGGGATCTGCCAAAACGTAGATATTTTTCTAGGTTTTGGCCTGTCATCCACATGAAAACGGAGTTTTTTCACATGAAAATTGATCTTTTTAAAAACTCCGGCCAAAGTGAAGATCTGCATTTTCTCCGTTTTGGGTGTCTGCGTGTGGACAGACAAAACCGGAGTTTTAAGGTCCGCAACGCCACTTTCCGCGACAAAAAAATGCTGACTTCACGTGTGCGACCTGTGTTTACACTAGCCGGCATCATGGAAGCCCTCAGAGCTGTGCTCTGTCACTACCCGATCCATCAATTGTCCAAGCGCTTTCTGCTTGTTTGTTTTTGCAAGTGGAATTACTTCTCCTTGCGGAAGACCACAGACGAAGGACGAGGTTAAGAACGGGGGAAGTACTGCCGCCTACAGGTCTGGCATGTCCTTAACAACGTATTTATCCGGGTACGTGTTGACAGAGTTTGTTTTTAAAACGAGGTGGTGTGGATGCAAGTTTTTGGAGGGGCGGATATTCGTTTTCAAAAAACCCCGGCTACGTGTGGACTAGGCCTCAAGGTGGTACAGCTTCTTAAAGGAACATGAACGTTGCCAACCTACACACACCTTTTCATTTTTTCATCATCAAATTTATTGACATTGGAAAAGTTATCTTGATAAAGAGTCAGAAAATCTGATAATGACAAATATTCGATTTATTGCCCAGCCCTACGATATATTGAGGAGTTCCCCTCAATAACAATAAATGGACGATAACTGCACATGCACAAAAACAAATGCTTTACACTAGATGGAGCTGTTACGTGTATTACATTGCTTAAAAGCATATTGATAAAAGTAAATTCAAATTGATTGATATAAATTATTTTTGATAATTATAAAACAAATGTAGAAAATATTCTTTAAATGCAGCCCTGACTAATGTATGTCATTACTTTATGATAAAACAAGTTGGTTGTGTTACCAAACTTGATTTTTAACCCATTCTCTGCTAACTGTTCAATTGACCAAGACGCCTCGTATTTTTTTTAGACTTGTAAAAGCATCTGGAAGAGATGCTAAACTACCAACAACTGCTAAAATCAAAGTAAAGACAAAGCTTCTCTTGCTCAACACAAATTGTACAGTTTTAGGCATACTTGTTTTTTTCTAGGACCAGCTTGGTCTTGAACTAGATGGATTCTAATAGTTAAGCATTAGATGTTGTTAAAGGATTATTTTCTGAGAGTTTCATTTAAAATCCATCCAGTGGTTCATAAGACATTTTACCACCAGGGTTGTGCCAGAAACTAATTGCAGAATTTTAAGCATAGATCTGTCTAAATGAGTGAATACTCAGATTATGTGATGGAAGCGCCTCTCAGCTACTATGGCATCCGGTATTACCACAATATCTGTTAAAAAATAGCCATTTTTATGTATGCTAACAGTCAGCCATCTTCAACTGAGCTTGCTGTAAAGTTGATCAGTCAGAGATCCAATGATTACTCTGAGAGTTTTATAAATCAGCTTTAAAGAAGTTAACAGTAGGCCACAGTGAGTTGGTCATAGCAGCTGCTGCAGGTATCTTCTCTACTTAAATCTGAACAGAAATGTAAAGGGCTGCTTAATTTAGAAAGGTGCCTTAGCATCAGCCTACATCTAACCATTATTAGCACATATCCAATGTAGTTGTTATTTCTTATTTAGACTTTTGACACAAATGTTGTCTCAAACGCTATAAAATGTTTTGTAATCTTCATGCTTGTTCACATCTGGGTTTAGCAGTAGAATAAGCTGATTCAGTCGCATATAGGAATGCCGCTAATTCTTTGAACTTTTGGATTATAAATGATCCACTCCAGGGTGGCACAGTAGAGCATTTAGTGGGACTCGGTTGTCCTCTGGTCAGTCAGCTGGAGCACACTGGTGGATGTTTACTTGAAGAAGAATGGAAGAGACCCAATGAGGAAGTCTGTGGTATTAACGCTGTTTAATATTCTGTGTGTGAAAGAACAGGTAGGCTTAATGGCTAACAGAGACGCTTTCTAGAATGAGACAGTTGGATAATGGAACAAAGAGAACATTGACAGAAAGGTTTATAATGATCCCAAGCAGTGATTGAGGCAGATAGAGGGCCACACGTAAGGTTAAGATGAGACCCGCGTAAGGCTGCACCATTATGTGGATCTTGACTTTTTTCAGCAAAGGGAGGTTGTGGTTATCAAACTATTTTTTTAATGGAAAAAATAAAAGCAGCACTTCAGTAAAATA